GAGGGTCGCAAGGTCATTACATGGAGTTCGTGAGCTGTCAACCTCCATCCTAAGCCCAGGGCCGGCTCCAGGCACCAGCTTGTCAAGCAGGTGCTTGGGGCGGCCGCTCGGGAGAGGGGCGGCACGTCCAGCTATTCGGCGGCAATTTGGCGGACGGTCCCTCACTCCGCCTCGGAGCGAAGGATCTCCCGCCGAATTGCCGGCGCAGATCGCGATCGCGGGTTTTTTTGGCTGCTTGGGGCGGCCAAAACCCTGGACCCGGCCCTGCCTAAACCCGCTTTGCCTCCAGCATTTATAATGGTGTTAAATATATGAAAGAGTGTGTTTAATTTATCAGAGGGGTCGCACTCAAAGGCTGGCTGTGTGAAAGGGGTCACCAGGACAGAAGTTTGAGACCCACTGGGCTACCTTGAACGGCATGTGGATTGGAGCCTCCCAAAGTCTATTGTCAGTTAAGTGTTTCTGGATTGGGCACTTAACTTGCAAATTCCTTTCTCCAGAAGAACAGGAGTCCTTGTGGCACCTTGAAGTGGGTTTTAGCCCAGGAAAGCTTCTGTTAGTCTCTCAGGTGCCACCGGACTCCTGTTCTGTTTGCGGATACAGACTAACACGGCTGCTCCTCTGAAACCTGTCTCACGAAGCCGACCACATGCTTCACTGAGGCTACTTAGAATCAAAGCACATTGAGATACAAGTACAGAGCCAATATTCCTAACTTCAACTGCACAAATGACACACACACAGAGACAGCATCATCCTAACCAGCAAACCAGAACCTCCGTATAGACGCCTCACACGACAGCCTTGGTACAGTATTTGCTGCAAATATAGAACAGTGGTTGCAACAATGATCTCCACGGGTTATATTAATAATGTCACACCCTGTGATGGGCTTCCGAGAGTCCCCGAACCAGCGGGCACTGCAGGACCGGCCCAGCCCGTTGCGATCTTGGCGCCAGAGGCCAGTGTTCCCGTGGGCGTCCCACAAGCTCGTCTCTGGGACGGGCCCAGCCCCTGGGGGAAACGTGGGGGGAAGGTGCCCAGCTGGTCCCTGTTCTGCGGCACCTTTCGGGGGCACTGAATCCCACAGGTCCCTCCCACTCCCGACCGCAGTCCGTTTCTCCTTCTGTCCCGGCGACAGGAGCTGCCCAACGGCCTGCGGAAAGCCCAGGGCTACCTGGAGAGCCGTCTCCGGAGCCTGCAGAACCCCTACAGCGTGGCCATCAGCTCCTATGCCCTGGCCCTGGTGAACAGCCCCCTGGCCAACGCTGTCCTGGACAACTTCGCTGCCCGCAGTGAGTGCAGAGACGGGGCGGGGGCTGGGACTGGCGCTCGGCACCGCCTGGGGCAGGGGCAGGCTGGGGAAATGAGGCAGAGAGGAGGGGGCTGTGCCCAACGCTGGGAGCGGGGGGCACATGTGACTGTGTGCGTGCTGTGTGCGTGCAAGAGCAAGTGACTCTGCACTGTGTGTGCATGAGGTGGGCTCTGCCCGTGTGCGATGCGTGTGCATGCGTGTGCGATGCGTGTGCTCTGTGTCCCATTGCTCCCCTGCTGACGGTAGCGCCGCTTTCCGCAGACGGGACACACTGGCCCGTGGACCAGCACACGGACCGCTCTCTGTACACCATCGAAGCCACGGCCTACGGCCTCCTGCAGAAGTTGACCCTCGGGCGCTTTGAGGAGACCCACCCCATCGTGCGGTGGCTGGTCGAGAGTAGGGGGTTCGGCGGGGGCTATGAGAGCACCCAGGTAAGAGCTGGCGCGGGCCGGGGGGCCCTGAGTGCCAGGAGGCGGGATCATGCCTGGGCCTGAGCATGGCCAGCCCTCCCTCCCGCGGCTTCGGAGGCTTGGTTCCCAGCTGGTGGCCGGTCAGTGCCCCCTACCGGGATCTGGGCCTTCGCTTGCTCACGGCACACAGAGCCGCTGGATGAAAACATGGATCCGCCTGCTGGGAAGCTGCCATGTTCCACGGCTTTAGTGCCCGAGAAGACGTGGGAACCCAAACCAGAGAGAGACAAAACAGGCTGCTCCCTGCTGCAGGGAGGCCCGACTGCCCCAGGCTGGCTGGCTGCCGTCTGACGGCTTCCACGACCCCCCACCCTACAAGTGAACACGCCACTCCGTGCACCGCAAGCCTGCATGCCACGGCCCTAGCAGTCCCTGGGGGAGTGGGGTGGGGACGTGCTGGCCGGGGGGGCGGAGATCCCAGGCAGGCCCTGCCCGCACTGCCCCTTGGGGTGGCAACGGGAGGGAGCCGGTCCCAGCGCACCCAACCAGCAGCAAACTGGCACGGCGGGAGCAGGACCCGCTCCTCCTGCCCTGCCTGGGGGCGCTCGCAGGGCGGCCCTGCCCACCGGACTGGCTTTGGACAGCTGCCCGTCGCGGCCGGTGCCTCCCCTCACACGGGGGTCGAGCACGTGCTCCGGAGCTTTGCCGAACTGATGCCTCAAATACCCTCATCTGGGCAGGACCTTTCCCAGCGCCCCCCCCGCCTCCACTGCCCGGCCCCTGCTGCCAGCCTCTGCCTCCTCCCCAGACCACCGTGATCGGCATGCAGGCCCTGGCGCAGTACCGGGTCGCCGTCCCCCCCGAGAAGGTCGTCGACCTGAAGGTGCAGGTCAGCGTGCCCACGCGCAACCTGGCCGAGCTCTGGACCATCGACAACAGCAACGCCTACCTGCAGCGCTCCAACTCCAAAAAGGTCAGCCCTGCCCTCAGGTCCCGCCCTCTGCCCTCGGGCCCCGCCCCTGACATGCAGCCCCGCCCCCTTCCCTGGGGTCCTGCCCCCTGCCCTCAGGTCCCGCCCTCTGCCCTCGGGCCCCGCCCCTGACATGCAGCCCCGCCCCCTCCCCTGGGGTCCTGCCCCCTGCCCTTAGGTCCCGCCCCCTGCCTGCAGGCCCTGACCCTGGCACGCAGCTCTTCCTTCGGGACCCACCCCCTCAGCACATAGCCACCCCCCACTCTTGGGCCCCACCCCCTGGCATGCAGCCACCCCCCTGGGGACACCTGGCGTGCAGGGCAGAGCTCCCACGCGGGACCCTGTGCCCCATGGCCAGGGTAGGGCGGCTGCTGGCTCTGGGGTGCTGCACAGACCGGCACCTCCTCAGCATCTCTCACCCTTTCCCCTGCAGTTCTACGCCCAGGAAGCTTTGAACATCACCGCCCGCGGGACGGGCACCGGCACGGTGACAGTGAGTGATGCCTGGGCCCGGGTGATCGCCCACAGCCTGACCCGGCCCTGCACCTCCTGGGGAACATGGGCACCGGCGTGGGCCCATTACTGGGCTAGACTAGAGAGGAGCAGGGGCCAGGACTCCTGGGTTCTCTCCCCAGCTCCAAGAGGGGAGTGGGGTTGTGACAATGCGGTTCTGGCGGAACCCACCTGAGAGTGCCAACTCAGGACAAATTGCTCAAATAGGGCAGTTACAGCCCAAGGCTGGGGTTTTTTCCACCTCTAAGGCAAACCAAACCAGCCAGACTAGGAGAACTTCGGTCTCATCCCTTGACTAACCGCAAGTCTCACAAGCAATCTCCTTAGACACTCCAGTTTCCCAATATTACCACCAGTGCCACTCGTTATGGGGACAAATGGTTATGAAAACCAATACCCCAGTAACAAATTCAAATTTGGATAGCGTGGGGTTCTGACCCAAAGCTTAATTGACCTGGTTCTGTGGATCCTGCCGACTACGCC